CCCTCCTAAAAAATTTTACCTGTTTTTCCCATCAGTAAACGTCACAACGCAGCTAAACGACACAGGGCTGGGTGATTTAAAGGTGATTYGGCCATTGACCACGCAGTAATCGTCTTCCTGATCTTTATCAGCACAACAAGGACGGATGGTCTGACCATCAGGGAAGGACACATCTAAGACGGTTGCGACGCTGCCATCTTCTAGCTCTGTAACTGGTACCTCACAGGAGACKGTTGTCGCTCTGTCGATGAAGTAAAGTAATTTACTACGAATAAAAACTAAATGCGCAAAGCTGCAATGAGCTCTAAGGATACTCGAGCTGGTATTTCGATTCGTACAATGCGAGATTATGTATGGTAATGTCAGCGAAGTGAAAAGGGTCTATTCCAGTTGAGCGGTGAACGCGGCGCGCAAGGCATGAGGGGGCAAAATAACCCGCCCTAAGCAGTTTTGGAGCTTAAAAGAACGAAGCAAACATGGCGGTAAAATGGAATTGTTTTTATTCTTCCTCTCCATATTTCTGCTTCTTGTAGGCATGTATATTTAACAAATAGACATCAGTTTTTTATGTGTCTGTCCTCTTGATAAATTGGGTCATCACATTGCCAAAATAGTGTGGATCCACGAGGCGTAGGCGTAACCAATCAGCGCGCGAAATTTTTTAAAAGTTATTCTAAAAGATATTTTAGTCAAAAGAAAACAGAAAAATACAGTTGGGTTACAGTAGCATGGCGGCAAAACAGCTAAACGCGCTGTGTTTGGCTGAAACAAAATTCACCGCTCAGCTGGTTCTACATACATTTGCGTCCATTGTCGTACCCAACTCCTTCACAGGTTTCTAAAGCTGAAAAGGATTTGAGTACGAGAATGCATTTGCGTCCTGTTCGTTTACCTTCTAAATCCCGAAGCAATGATTTTAAAGTCTACAGATACGGGGATCTCAAGCGGTGCCGGGCTGATACAGATGCTATCTGGCTCGAACTTCAAGTAAGCAGCCTTCAATTCTCCCCTCAGTTCCAGAATGCGGTAAGGGTTATTACGATCGTCGTCCAAAATTACTGGCACGTGGGCTATATATAGACCCGGAGCAGCTGTAGAAGAAACCACAGGAATACCAATTCACAATCAAGGTATGAATTCCCCACTCTCCATACATAGGTTCAATAGTCAGATACGAAGCATCGAATCGAGGGTGCTAGGGTTCAAATTTGAATAATCCTTTAAAACTACCTTACAGCCTTGATCGCATGATTTGTATTTGACCACTGAACCTTGAACTTTTTAGAGCAACACCCTCGTACTCGTAGACCTTCATAGTCAACCTCACGAGGCGATAAAAGAACCCCAAGCTGAAAAGCCTACCAGTCTAACCCCACTCTCCCCTCCCTGGGAATTCCAGACCCCCCTCTAATTACAACCTTGGAGTCAACCTAGAAGAACTACAATTTACTTACGAGGTAAAAAAGGTACCCCAAGCTGAAAAGTCTATCCAGACTACCCCCACTCTCCCCTCCCTGGGAATTTCAGACCGCCCCCCCTCTAATTACCACCTCAGAGTCAACCTAGAAGAAAGACTACAATTTACTTACGAGGTAAGAAAAGTACCCCAAGCTGAAAAGTCTATCCAGACTACTCCCACTCTCCCCTCCCTGGGAATTTCAGACCGCCCCCCTCTAATTACCACCTCAGAGTCAACCTAGAAGAAAGACTACAATTTACTTACGAGGTGAGAAAAGTACCCCAAGCTGAAAAGTCTCTCCAGATTCAAGAGTAATAGATGGGATGGTACTTTTTCTACGAGCAGACGACGGAGTGAATGGTGATCCTGTCCTGTGCAGGAACTTGAAAGTACCATCTTCTAGCAGAGGCCCCCCTTCCAGGATGTGAAGCGTCCAGGAAAGAGTGCGGTCACTATTGTTAACAAACATACATCCCTGGAAAATAACATATTTAAAAAAAATTATCACATGGTATAAGAGTTAATTTTGAGAATAACTTGGCCCTATTTTTCCAATTTTGCAAAATTATTTAGATGCAAAGTTATAAAAGAAAAGTCGTCGGTTCAGACTTTTAATGTAAGAGAGCAAAGGTCCTCAGCACAAGAGAGAGGAGGGGGAAACAGAAGGAATGGCGCGAAATTACAAGCTCATCTTTTATTTCTTCCTCCGTTGCTCCCATTCATTCCATTCTTTCTTTTCTTCTTCCATCCTTCTTCCATTCTATCTTTCCCTCCTTTGTTCATTCCATCAGCCCCCTTCTCCCCCCCCCCCCTCCAGTGGATTCCTACCTGCGCCCTTCCAGCTCCTGACTCAATACCAAGATCATAGTAACCCGATGGCAGCGAGAAGCTAAGACTGCTATGCGACAGTTGTAAAGGTGGCCGAAGAGCTGTAGAGATGACACGACGACTGGGTGTGGCCATGCCCGATATGCAGGGTATAGGTGTTGCCAGGTCCGATATGGTCCAGTTCGTTCKTGATGGGGACGGGGTAGGGGGGTAGACTGACGGGGGAGGTGTCGGAGCCAGGATGTTGTTGATGATGACTGGAAWAACGAAGTCATAGGCAGCAACCTGAGAAATTGTGGGGAAAAAAGCCGTAAGTTAATAATGTCAACAATTTATGTGATAGACTTCATAGAGTAGGAGTGACAGAGCGTGAGAAAAATCATCATCATAGTTGTCATCTTCAGCATCATCATCATCAAAATCATCGTTGCTGCACCTTCATCGTCAAAATTAATTGCTAGGTTTCAATCGGCTGATAAAAGTCTTTGAATCTCGATATCTGCTCCAAATGGTGGTCAAACACTGGCCACAATCTCATTTCGATCAACCAGGAAAAATTCTATTGATTCAGCTRATGRACATTCTGCACGAACATTYTGCACGTCTGCAAGTGAGCATCTCSCAGTGAGTTAGCGAGAACAACTTGGCACAAGTTTATAAATTCCACAGTCAACACCGTGAACAAGACAAATGACAAAACACATTCAACTTACTTCAGAAGGCGAGAACTCAAGAGTACAGTCAATAGTTTGTCGTGGKGCCAGAGTCAGACAATAGATACCATCACCTCGATAGACCGGCTCATCTATGGACGGAAAGAAAACATATCAATAAACCTTCTTAACTTCTCATGCAAAGTGCACATTTCAGATCACGTGACATTCCCTTTAGAATTGTTCTTTTATGAGGGACATGTTGAAATATTTACACATGAAAGAATCAACTCCCCAGAGTGGCATCACGTGGTCTGAAATAAGCACAACAAACAACAAAGCTAAAGAGGTCTATTGACCCAATTGTTTTCCCATTTCAGACCACATGTCATTCCCTTGAGTATCATTTCTTTGTTTAACGGTTGCGCATCAGAAGCAAGACACATGAATATGGATACAACTTAAGCAAAGGATGTTATTCTCAAGAGAATGACACGTGGTCATTGAAGAAGATTTCGATATTTTCTACTTTTAATGCCCAGTCGCTTCTCTTGTCTTATTTGATCTCACACTGTGGTTGATGGGAAGGATTTAGTGAGTTCTCCTTCCCAAAAGCCATCGCTCGCATCAAAAAAGTGTCGTGCGCATTAAAAATACGTGAGTGACGACTGGGTACGAGTCTGCATCAGTACCTATCTCATCGACGTCAAAGACCTTCAAAGAAAAATCCTGGTGTCGAGACAGATCAAGTTCAAGTCTTGCTTCAGTACGAGCCTAAAAGAAAACAAAGAGGAATAGCTTAGCTTTGGCATACGTCACTTCCGGTCTCTAGCATCACATGACAGAAATGGCTATAAGCGTTAGCGCCTTACGTTACTTCCGGTCTATAGCACGACATGATATGCACTTACCAAGTTGTTCATTTTGAACGGTATTTTAGAAAGGGCACCACAGTAGACTCCCCCAAAACGAAACGAATCCTGAAAAAATAAAGAAGTGTGAGCTTCTTATGCGCAACATAAGTTTTGACACTAACTAATTTCAACTGAGCTACGCCTGCTCCTCACGCAGGCGCAATGGTTATGTGTTACTATAAAGATACTTACCACGTCGATGTCTACAGACGGCGGTTCTACAGTACCACCCACACGAAGAGTGATCATTTTACCGCATCGTATATTCACTTGAATGTTGGTGTCGAATTTGTGTACCGAGTCAGGATGGAACTGAACCTGAAGGGAAACAAACAAATAGACATGAATAATATTTTTTCTTCTGAAACTAAGACCATTTTGCACGGGTGGGCATCATACAAGCGTTCAAGGGACAAAGCCGCTTGAAATAGACCGCCTCAACACAAGTTTCCCTGAATTTTCGTAAAAAATGTAAAAATATGAAATGATTTCATGTGATCATTAATCGATCGAAGTTAACGTGGAGAGAATGGGTCAGGGTTTCGTTGTTAAAGTGCACCTAAACCCCCGATACAATACTTTCAGTATTGATTCTACATAATGTGAATAGTTGAATGGTGAAATATTTCTTCATTTGAATGTTGCGAATTTRAGTTATGAAGGTTTATGCMTTCAATATGTAAATGACTGTGAMGTCACCCCAGGCTTCATTAAAAATACACATTTTGACTGGTTCACMCAAACAGTTTTGAAGAACATCATCATTATACTCAAGGTTTCYACAATGTTTATTGTAAATCTGATGTCTCRTAATGGCTAGTGTTTAGTATTAAAAATTAAAACAAATACACTCCAAAGCCTGGGGTGACATCACAATCAGTAACATAATGGAGGTATAAACCTTCATAACTTAAAGACGTAACATTCAAATGAAGAAATATTTCACCATTCAACTATTCACTTTATGTAGAATCAATGCTGAAAGTGCTGTATCAGGGTTTCGTTGCTTTAGCGTATGTGTACTCGCATGTTGGCTTTGCCCTCCGTGGTTAGCTTTGCTTGCTTGCCTTGCTGTTTGCATTCAAATTCTACAATTACCTAAAATGCTCTGCTGCATATGTATATAATAATCCAAGGCATGTCCAAGGCATGTCCAAGGCATGTTTGTTGGTTTTCTCCTGTGCTTCGAGGGTTTTTCTCCGGGTTCTGCGGTTTTCCTCCCTCCTCAAAAATCAACTACTAAATTCCAATTGGAATCCAGTGGAAGAAGAGCCACTCTGTAGAATCCACTGTTAATCCCATTATGATTACGATTCTTATGATTATTATTATTATCAAGGCACMCTCTACAATGAGTTATGTATTAGTGGGAGGTGGTTAGTGTGAATGATGTGTATCAGTTACCGTGATTTCTGTCGTCCCACCAACAGGGACCACACCTTCTTTAGGACTGATCATCATACTAGGGATAGGTTGAACATCAACTATCTGGAGAAAAATAAACATTTAMTTAAAAACGTTTTATTGTTTTTCCGGCATGTCATTGCTATTGCGAAAAAAATAAACATGTAAATCATAAACAGCTGATCTGTAAAGGCCGGTTTAGACGGTACGATTTTCGCCGACAACTATCGTATACAACACGCTCGCGTCTGTCGTAGGCGAGTTGTAGGCTTGATTTACACGCTACGACTCGAGTTTCAGGATGGCGCGAGCGTGTTGTATACAATAGCTGTAGGCGAAAATCGTACCGTCTAAATCGGCCTTAATAGTGACATGGATATGACGTCACTGCAAAACTGAGGTGTGAAAATGGCCAACGAAAAATAAATACCTGTCCACCTTTGCAATAAAAATACAAAACTCATTAGTCATATCGTATTACTTCTATTATTAGAAACGTTATTTTTTCCGTTCGGTGGCCTGGAAATCAATAATTTAAGAGGGAAAGTGACTTCTCAGTTTTGCAAATTTTCTCGATTCTGATTGGCTAACATTTTCTCTCGGATTAGCTGGGAGTACCTCAAAGAAAGCATGGTTATGACTGGTGTTCTTCAGAGACACCGTCTTGGTGGTAGTAAGATTGAGGGGAACTGGTCCAAACARCAGACGTCTTTCTATAAAGGCGCAGTGTGCTGTTCCAAGCTGAAATAACAAAATTACGGAGAAAACGATTATAATYGTGTTAATGCTCCAAGAGTTTTGAATCAGCTAGTTTGTTTTTGCTCTTTCTGCAAAAATCAACTCCTAAATACTAATTTGTTTATGGATTCGGTCTGGGACCGAAACTCATGATGGCTGTGAAGGAGACTAGGAATGAGGCCCACACGTCTGTTTAGTCATTGGCTAGGACAATGATGTCGTCATGGTGGTGATGATAATAAGCAGAGAACTTGTATCCATATTGTTTATGTTTGTAATGATGATTGTATTGTCGAATAGGATGCAGATAACAATGTGAAATTCACCAACAATGTGAAATCCACATTGTCACTTGCATTCCTTTCGACATCAATAAGATGAGGGTAAAAATTGCAATTATGATGTTAATGCATGTCGATCGTAAAAGTGATACAAATAAGGGATCAAATCAAAAACCATTATCATCTTACGGAACCCGATTTTGAAGGGAGAGGAGAGATTACCCAGTACCCACCACCCGAGGAAGTGAATTCCTGGATTTTGTCCTCAAATATCTTCAAAACTAAGAGTTAGGTTGAGAAATGAATGTGCTGTCCATTTTCATGTCTGACAGGCAACGTATTTGTGTATACAAATAGTCGCATTTCCACAGGTCTCGGAAGAGAAGGAGTACTTACTGGTACCTACCACCCAATTCAACAAAATTGGGTCTCTGTTTTGGACCACTGTTTCGACAATGCCCCTAATGATGGCTATCAACCCAGATGAGGTTGATCAAGTGGCACGTGACATAATTGACCAATCACAATGCTCCACGTGCCTTGACCACCCTCCTCTGCTATTAACCATTCCAAACGTGAGGAAACACTGGGTCGTGTTGGTATTGCAGTTGATTGTGAGACTGCTTTAGGGGACATATTTCCAATGAATCATTTAAGTAGTAAGACGAAACTTTGGTTGTTAAACCTTGATAATGGAGTCAAGATGACTCCGAAACGTCGGATTTTAGCGTTAATTTTCATTATAAGTACATTTTCAAAATCTGTCTTACTTAAAATATTTCCAATCCTTTCCTAAAACAGTATCACAATGCAATCCAATGCCAACTCGACCCATTTTTTTTCTTAAATCTTACTAATTATGACTGTCCTACCTTTGCTTTACACTTCAGTGTTTTTGTGGCGCCTCCAATCACATGCATAGCGAAGTCTGCCTCGTCTACAGCTGAGAATGATGGCATGTACGACACTTGGCATACCAGGTTAGTGTACGCTTCCACCATACCTATATCAATATGAATTATTAGTCACAGCAGGTTCTGCATGACTGTGAATAGTTTACTCAAACATGACCGTGCCGTGACCGTGTGCAAGCAATCTGATTGGATGATCAGTAATCTTGCATCCGTTTTTCCTACATTCTTGATTTTTTCAATTTATCAGAGATTATAAATATAAAATTTCTCAAAAAAAAAAAGATCTACCAGTTTTGGGTGTAATCTTTCATATTTAAATTTGTATTTCCTCTTGATGAGAATAGTAACACAACTGATGCTCATTAACTCAACAAAAGAAAGTGTGCAAGGGAGTCTGGTAGTGGTAGTACCTGACGCCATAATTCAAACGACCTAATGTATTATTGTCTTGTATGGATGAGTCAATAACAAACCTTGATTCGGTTTAATGAAGAACGGAGCTTCGTATTTAGCTGCTTCCCATCTAAATTCAGCCGGGTAGTTCCTCTTGTTGTACACTGTGATAGACCCTTGGAGCCCTKGTGATCATTAAATAATGTGCATGTATAAGATATAATTATAGACCCCTTGCATATGACGTCAAAGCATCTCGATCTGGGGGACAAAACAAAACAATTCCAATCTTGAGAATTAGAAYCTATTGTTTTGTCCTCCAGATTGAGCTGATTTCCAACGTACTGCACGGGGTGTATTATTGGCCTTTCCGAGGTTGCGCGGAAAACTGGTAACGAGTAGGAGGCGCGCTGCATCATGGGGCTGTTTTTGAGGACGCCATTTGTCTCTCTGTCTGTCAATCAAGTCACATTTATTTAGTTTTTCCGACTGTTTTAAGAGAGTTTGCTAATCTTTTCCGGGCCGCCATATTAAAAAATTGCGTCCCTAAACAGCCGCATGATAGAGCGCGCGTCATACCTGTCGTTAGTTTTCCGCGCAACCTTGGAAAAGCTACCATT